CTCCACCACTGCTTAAAATGTACTAACCCTATTCATAACAAAACATCACTTTAAAAATGACCATTGTCCTTTTAAGCCTAATTTCCTGTTAGTTATCTTGGCTTTGCATCACTATCTGCACACATACATTATACACGTTTTGGGTTATTTTTCTCCACCAGTGACATCTTTCCATAAAATGAACCTAACCTTAATCATGTTATTTCTCATTCCATGAGGCAAAATTTGAAAACTGCTGGTGTTAAGTTTCTAAAAGCAATGCCATAATATTGTGGGAGAAGGATGTTGTCAAAGAATGCTTCAAAAAATACATGTTATATACTTTGTTACAGTGCAACTTTGGGACAAAACTCTTCATTAGAAAAGAAAAAAATAAATAAAAATCACAAGAGTTTAAATCCATTAATTGCTGCTTGTTGGTGACAAAAATAATAATTATAAAAATAAACAAAAAATTGGGGATCCAAGTGCAAGAAGTACAATACTATTCACAAATACAGGTGACACATTTTTTCTTAGAAAAAATGGCATAAGTGAATACTTGTGGATTTACAATAAAATTATCATGTAATATTGTTCTTATTCCTTACTGCAATTTAAAATAWAAATAATATTTGTTCTAATTTTACAGATTTCAGAATAATGTGAATAACTCTTATCTTCCACTTTTGGACATAAATGCTAAAACAAAAACACACAACGAGAGGCAGCACAACACAGGATTCTCACATTTAAACCTGCTCACAAATTTTTTCCTTACATACTGTGTTTTTTTAGACAATCTCAGTAGTTTTTGCTGAAGCTGGTCTCAATAGTGTTACATTACATTGCACCTCAGATGGTGATTAATGAGAAAAACATTTGAAAAGTTATTGAAAGATCTGCATAGATTCAACACAAAAACATCAACTCCTAATTATTTTCTTTTTTCAAAATGAAAAATTATATCTATTTTACATGGAGGTATGCAGACTGTCCAGCAGTTCCAAATACCTTCTATTTGAGTTTGAAACATGCTACAAATAATTGGTATCAAGTCGACGTGTTTGATGGTGTAGATGAGAAAAGTCAAATGAAAATATTTAAGGCCCTGCTGCATATTCATGTGGAAACAGGGCAGAAGAAGGAAGAAGATTTTTATCTTGACAACAAAAAAGGGCAGATAAATTAGTTCATGTTTTGTTAATAATCTCGTGATTTTAATGTACGTCTCAGCTCTGACAGCGATCTATAAAACCACATATCGCTGTGTGCTAAGTGTAAAGACACACTTCACACATGTACACTCTGTGTGATCCTGTTTGCAGGAAGTAACACAACTCCTTGTTGTAATCACAGAATGCTGAAATGCCTCACATAGCTCACAGTCACACACACACATAAACACACACAAATACACACACACATCAGCTCCCATCTCACTGCACAAAAAGTGTAAACTGAACCAACACAAATAGAGGAAGTTATCCTCTAAATATCTCAGCTGGTTTCAACTCATTAGGCCCCACGCTGGGCGACCTAAATATACTGCTGAACCCGAGTCCCAGCTCCGTCTCAACTGAGCAACATCTTCTCCCCTCTCCGGAACATACATGAAGCATGTTTCATATACACAAACCACTTCATATGACATGTCAGCTGGGCTAGTATGAGCAGTATTTTGCAAGTTATGACAATGAGGTTACTTCAAAACGAACATGAGACACCGAGTGGCATAACTAAAGGGAAAGTGTTGTGGTGAACATGTGGAGGTCATTTTATTTACTTGAGTTTAAATGTTCTTACTCTGATAGAAAAAGCAATTATGACATTTGATATTCAGTGCAGACAAAACGGTCCTGTCCTCAAGTATCTGTAAATAATCTACAGCACATGCCTTTGATAGTTCAGGTCTGAGTTTGGTGAGTTTATGAACAATTAATATCTTACCTGTTGAGGATAGCTCTTTAAACAACCTAAATCTGGATAATTTTGACTGTATTAATGAGCTATCAACTAACCCCAGAGTTACACTAGATGCGACTCCGCTCTGCTCTGCTGTGCTGAGCAGTTCRCAGCTGTTCGTTTTCACCCAGCATCCGCTCTGGTGCGACACACCGAGGAGGGAGTGTGTGCAGGAAGGAGATTGCATGATAAATACAGGAATACATGCGGAAGTCAGAGCAAAAAAATTATTAATTTTGTAAAATACGAACACAGCTGGAAACATTGATATAAAGATTTTAAATATCTGTGGTTGAAACTGTATCGCTGTCGTCTTTTTGAAACTTCACATTTCAAAATAAAATCCACATGTATCATGTGTGTACACATATGCTTCATGCCACATGTTGTCATCTGCTTCCAAAACAGAACGATACATTCTGACAGCATTTGTGAAAAATATATCCATATATTGATTAATATAGCTGGGATTTCGACAAAATTAGCACAGCTTATGGTGTCTTGTTTTGAAAATACGGATGTTGTGCTTGTTCCTTTTCCTGTTGGAGCAATGTGATCTCTGTAGATTGACCCCGGAGCAGCTCCGGCATCCGTCAAAAATAGGATCAGATCTAATTTTGACAGATTGCCATCCGCTCACCGCCGCCCTGGGCCACCATGCGGAGCCAGTGTAAACACTCATTGATTATAGTGATTGAGTATTTGCTGAGGTCGGCCCGGACCTGAGCAGAGCAGAGCCGCATCTAGTGTAAATTGGGGTAAGGATTTATGGCATTTGCTGTTAAAACAAGTCCAATAAGCCACCTAACAAGCTAGCTACAACACATAAGATGCTAAAGTTTTCACAACCTTTCCATAGAATCGTGTTCAAAAGATTTGAATTGTCTCTTTAACATTTAAGAAACAATTCTAGCAACTTTACACCACTGAGACCTGACCACCTCTCTAACAGGAGCACTGATTATGCCACAAAACAGTTGAACTTTTCTGTTTTTCATGTAACCATCGATTGATCATCTTTTTTTTTTTGGCCTGGCATTTGAACAAAAATCTATTTCACATTAAGAAACTAACTTTGTAATGGGTTTCTTCAGCTGTGTCAGCCCACAAATTTTCCTCTACGTTCAGCCATATTCCAAGTTTTCCCTGGAGGACCTTGAGACATTCTCAGGCCACATAGGGTATGTAATTCCTTTAGGATATTCTGGGTCTGCCCTGTGATCTTGTTCTACTTGGATGTGTCTGGATCACCAGACATCAGATATCTGAACAAGAGCCCGGCAGATATTGTTAATATGAACATCCATATTATATATAGATATTGATATAYCAGCCAAAATTCTGTTTACACGTACTATTAATAGAGAGTAGGTTGACACTAAGACAGTTGATTCAGTTCTTTTTCACAGGACAATCTATCTTTATATCGATAAATTATACCTGGTATATTTTTTTCTGCATTGTGTTGTGAAAAACAACATACATGACTTTTCGTCAAGTACTTTTTGTATGGATCCTGTCAGTCTTTCAGAAGAAGTTGTCTTTAGTGTGATATCCTAAAACAGGATGTTAATAATTTCACATCCAGTGTTATAAYGTTAGCAAACAAACTCAGTAATCTTATCTACATAGTGAACGACGGGTCTAGAAACAAAGTCTGATTTTAAAAATGCCACATTTTATTTCGCATACACTCATATTTCTTTTGTATTAGCAAAAGATGCCTTATTTCCTTTTGCAAACATTACACAGTCTCACCTTAAATGCATAGAACTGTTATTAAAATGTAAGTTTGGGACAAAAATAAATAAAACTTTATTTTAACACAACTGCCTTGTTTCCTTTGTGAATAAACTGCAGGGCACAAGCAGTAATTAAAACTGGGATCATAGCTTTAAACGACACCTGAATGGAAAGTAAAAGCCAATTTCTATCAAAACAGCCAAACCAAAGGGCATGACAGAATATTTTAAGTCTACAAAGTGCTGCAATGCATACAAAAAAACGAGAATAAACAACAGAACAAAAAGACGAGTCAAAGGTGACGGTGGAAGTTCTCCGAGTGGATCACAGGGGGCAAAAACTGCACTTACACTGAGCGAAGGCAGATTCCTCAGCAGAGAGATCTACAAGGAACAAAACAGAACAAATATAAATTTATTAAAAAGACAAATAATAAAGTCAAGGTAGGAGGGTTTTTTTAACATTTCATCACACACTGCTGAGCAAAGGTGGAGTGATCCTGTTGATGCCTTTATCTGTGTGTGTTTCTGTTCTAGTAGGGCATGAAAGGCACTGGACTATATGCAATCCACAGAAGACTAAACCTTTATTTGTTCATAGAAGACGGCATCATTAACATTTCCCTGAACCAGCTGACCAGATGTGTCCGAATCTGCCAGGAAAAGCCAATCGATGTGTTTGCACAGACGTTATGGAGGTCAGTAGTGATTTCTACCCTCCCTCTGCCCATTTAGGACCAGGAAGGGATGAGATGTAGGGGTGGGGAAGGGTGGGGGGGCCTATAAAAAGTTGCCCCCCCCCCACACCCCACCGACCCCCACAGTCCGGCAGACTCTCTTCCAAGCTGGAGCTGCAGCAGCATCTGATCTCTCCGAGCAGCTGTCCTCTCCCTGCATCAGCACAACAAATACTTGGCATTGCCTGACCTTTTCCTCCTGCATCACTATCCCAGCCATGCCCCCCCACCCACCATGCCCCTCCTCCCCCCAAAACAGCCTCACACACCAGCTACACACACTCTCACACACACACAACCTCGCGCCTTGCGCTCCCCTCACACCTCTACTCGGTCCCATCCGAGGCCCCTGCCTGCCACGCTCCCAGCTGACATGTATCCCTCATACCCATGCAGTTATGTTATTGCTCTGACACATTAGCTGAGGATGATCTTTGGCCAGGTGTWAGTGTGTATATATGAGCGTGTCAGGAAGAATGGAAGAGTTTTCATTTCTAAGAGGGGTTATGCTGCAGGATAGAACAGAAGAAGAAGATGTGGCTCCACAAGCAGATGCAGAAAAGAAGATGGAGMCTTCAAAAATGGCCAACATGTCTACAAAGGACAACAAGGATCAGATGCTGCTGCAGCTGCAGCTTGGAAGCGAGCCTGCYGGACCGTGGGGAGTGGTGGCGCAGMKGTTAGAGAAGATAAGTGTGATCGCCAGATCAACTAGCCKAACCAACCAGCACCASTTTGGGCCCTTGAGCAAGGCCCTTAACCCCTCAGCTGCTCCCATGGGCGATGTAATTGGTGGCCCACTGCTCCAGATGTGTTCACATGTGTGACAAGTAAAATGCAGAGAATTTCCCCTCTGTAGGACAATAAAGGCTAATAAAATCTAACATATATA